ATAATGAAACTTTTAAATCGTCCGGAATGTGAAAGACTGCTCGGGGATTGTAACTAATGCGTTTTATTCTTATGACTTGCTGATTCCACCAACAGCTGCCTTAGGGGTGCAATTCTAATCAATGGCTTTATCCACTTGGTAATCTATACCTCAGAAACACAAATCGGAGAAAACCATCAATGTGTAGAAGAGATCTATAAATCAGAATGTCAGGTGGGCTTATTTCCATTTTAATAACTGTATCTGGAGATTATTGGATAAAACATCCCATGGACACAAATTTATGAACCTTATGGCCCTGGCATCATGGTGGTTAAAGCGCTCGGCTGCTAACCAAAAATTTGGCAATTCGAACCCACCAGCTAGTCCATGGGGGAAAGATGTGGCAGCCTGTTTCCGTAAAGATTTACAGCCTTGGATATTCCATGGGGCAGTTCTACTCTGTCCTATAGGGTCACTAAGAGTTGGAATCAACTCGATGGCAGTGGGTTTGGTTTTTGGTTTATATCCCCCTCTAGGATGCCACCACATCCCTGTGGGAATATAAAAGTCTTGGTTATTTTCTTCTAACAACAGGGATAGTAAGCTAGTGACAGGAGTCACTTCAAGCTTTTAAATGACTTACTATAGATTTCCCTTTCTAATGCTAGTCCTAGAGTCACCTTCTCTTTTAAAAAGTGTTCATATCTATGTATGTGCAAACAGGATTTGCTTCCATGAGACCCAACCCAAGGAGTGCCCCGCATGTTGGCAAGTTCCTCTGTGTTGCTATCTATGTGCATGATTGGGACTCTTAGTTCACAAGAATCAATATAAACAGCAAACAAGATAAGTGCAAGGAAAAATGCCACTTCTCAAGAGTTCTTTCCATTCCTTTTCTCTTCTATGCTTCAAGCATATCATTCATATATATTTGAAGTGTGCTGTTTAATTTTCTCTTCCTTTGAAAAGCTCCTAAGGGTCCTTGTGAAGGGTTAGAACCAGGAGCAGCTCCATCAGTGGAGGCTGAGGACGCTTTTTTTGCAAACAAATCTGTAGCCCAGGTAGTCAGACACTCCTGGGCGCCTCTGCTGGGTAAAACTGCCCACAGGAGCAAAGCAGCCTATAAGGGATTCAAAGTGCCAATTTAAGGAAGCCATAAGCCCTATGTAGGTACACATGGAACTAGCATAAGTAGAAGGTGACAAAGTTGAGGATGTATAATTGATTTTCTCCTAGAAAGAGCCATCAATCTTGGAATCTGTAAGAGAAAGCAGATCAAAAACATTACAACAGGAGGCTGAAGGCAGAAGTGTCACCTCACCTGCAGACATATGAAATATCAAGCGTGTCCATGAGATGTGCGTAAGAGAGGGCTGAGAGCAAGGACACGTGTGCAGGTGAGACTGGGCGATACAGGATAGTGCAGTTACAGAGGATCCATCATCTGACGTTCAAATTAAACATCCAAAATCCACCGTAAAATCACTCCAATGGCAATCACCATGCATACATTTTACACTGAAGAACAGAAAGTACCAGAATCAGATTTTTCTGCTTCTGGAAAGTTAAGGTCTACATATGCTTGGACATTCACAAATTTCTGCATGAAAACAAAGGGTGTACCTTCAGAGTAGAGGCCGTAAGAAGCCACCAAATAAATACTGTCCAGTAGGCAAAACATAAAATGCTGCTTGAGTAATTAAAATGACAGCAGAAGCACAGCAGTGAGCCAAGAAGACATATCTCACTTCTTTCCAGTTGCACAAAGACATGTCCATCTCACCCAGGATTATCTCTGTTCCCACTGGGCTTATTTTCATATTTTGCATCAAAGAGCTCTTGGATAAATTTCCCTGGAATTTTACAAAAGATTTCCACCTAACAGTGACTATGATTTTTTAAATAATAAAATTTAAGAAGAAGACTATGAGATTATTAGTTTAATTATTTTTGAAGTACAGTTAAGAAGTCTACCTTTTGTTGAGGCTGAAGAAAGGGAAGTAACCCAACTTACTACCTTTGATTACCCTGAGAGATTATACTATGCAAAATGTACCTCTTCTCTGATAACCAAGGCTTTTTTTTTTTTTTTAAACAATTTTCTGCCTGAATTTCCACATTTCTCGCTAAGGACTTTTAATAACATTTCACTGAACACTTAGTTTCTTCCTTTTCTGCAAGAAACTCCTGTCAAACCTTACCAACCCTCTTGTCAAACCCCAGTAGTAATTTTACTTCTGGACTAAGCAGCAAGGCCCCAGCTATTTCTGTAATCCTCATCCAAAAACAAAAACCAAACCCATTGCCGTCGAGTTAATTCTAACTCACAGGGACCCTACAGGACAGTGTAGAACTCCCCCACAGGGATTCCAAGGCTGTAAATCTTTATGGAAGCAGACTGCCACATCTCTCTCCTGTGGAGTGGCTGGTAGCTTTGAACCGCCAACCTTTGCATTAGCGGCCAAGTTCTTAACCACTGCGCCACCAGGGCTCCTTAATCCTCATCCACTGAGAATAAAACCCTTCCTTAAAAATGGAAACCTTTGCCCCTCTTAGGCCTTAGGTTCACCTGATTCCCCAGTGGAAGCAGCAGGCAGCAAACCCCCTTCTAGCCCATTTCCTCATGTAGTCCTCAAGCCTGACCAACGGAAGCCTGGTCTCCACGCCAGCCACCCTCACGTCTTTCTTAAAAAGGCATCTTACCAATACACACTCATTCAATAAGTGTCTGTTGAGCACCTGTGATGTGCCAGGCACTGTTCTAGGCACAAAGCACAGCAGTGAACAAAAGAGATTTAAAAAAAAAAAAACAATCCCCAACTCTGTGGGGAGGATATTCCAGTGAAACACAGGCAACTGCAATTTGAAACCTGGGAAAGTTGTTCTCTGTAAAAGTCCGTGTTATAAATGACTCCTGGAAATCCCAAACTTCATTCAGGTCGAACGTACTATGTTCCTGACACTTTCCATGACATTCAGAATGGGTGTGTGTGGGGAGGGCTTTGGGAAACAATATGGATATCTTCATTATAACAAGAATTCTAGTTAACCAGACTTTCTGCTTTTTCTTTTTCCCCCAAGACTTTATCCTTTCTTTCTAACCAATTATAGAAAGGACTCTGGTGTGAGTATATTTGTATGGGGGGAGACACAGGATTGTATGTTTTAACTATATCATCCAGTCATTAATAAGGAGAGGGATTTTTGAGTTTCTTTGCAATATCAGAAATTTGTTCTTTTAATCTTTGTATCAGAAAGTTAAAAATATGCAGTTTCACACCCTTAGAGCATATTTTTGATCATAAATCAATTCTATTGACTTTTCAGTCAAAAATTATAAAACAAGGACAAGTTCCTGCCATTAACATGAACTTTGCATGAAATTTAGATTCCAAATAGACTTTTAAATTCATTAAATCCAGTTAATTTTCTAACTGTTGATAGTTCACCGGGCAGCCCAAGATATAATCAGGTATCACTGAGGCACTGGTTGAAGTCAGGGCCGAAGTGGGCTCTGGAGCCTTGCGCCTGGCATTACTCTGGGACCCTTGCTTCCCTCGGGAGTGCAGTTTGAAAGCTGCTAGTCTAGGTCAAACCCTCTTGTTCTGAGACCCAAGAAGATTAAGTTATTTGCTGAAGGCCACACAGCTATTTAGCTATACAGCAGAGACTGAGGCTCAGGCCTCCTGCCTTACATTCTTTCTACTATACCTTTTTTTTCTTTTTCTTCAATGAAAATGTGGAGGCACCTTGCTGGCTAGTTCTCATTTTTCAATATGCATTCCATAAAAAAAAAAAAAAAAATTACGGTAGAGTCAATTCTGACTCGTGGTGACCCTATAGGACAGAGTAGAACTTTCCCATAGGGTTTCCAAGGCTGTAATCTTTACGGGAGTAGACTGCCACATCTTCCTCCTGCAGAGCAGCTGGTGGGTTCGAACTGTGACCTTTCGGTTAGCAGCCAAGTGCTTTAACTACTGTGCCACCAGGGCCTCTTCATTTTCCAATATTCAAAGAAAAATATAAAAATCAAAAGGATTCCTATGCTGTGCAATGCAAGCCTGTCGCAAGCCAAATCTCTCCATTTAGGAACCTTAAGTCGCTATCTCCCTCGCACTCTGGAAGTGGGTTTTTAGGCTCTGCTCCCTGAGACATCATGAGGGAAGGATGTTTGTGTACCAAGAAGCTAGAGGAAAAGGTGTGCTGGGAATATTGAAGGGATGTGTTCCTGAGCTGCTCTCTTCACTCTGAGATGGAGGTGGGGGCTGATGTAGTCTTCTCTAAGGAAGCCCTGTTACACAATAGAGGCTTAATATACTCAGCCTGCCAGTGTAATCCCCACTCCCCACATCCCCTATTTAACCCACAAAGGATAGCCTGAACCACTGTAGCTTCATGAGTAGGCCCCCAGTAAGGGTAGTCCTTGCTTCTTTTGCTCTAAAACTACGACCTGAGCAAAATTAGTCTACACTTTTGAACAAATACTAAGGCTGACCATACTTTGACTTCTAGTTGGTAAGGGAAACGAATCAAGGCTTTACGTGACATCTGAATACTTGAGGATTTCCTGTTTCTCTGCCCTGCCCCCATCTTTTATCTTCCAACTGACCCTCAGACTCTTTTGCAGTGGAATTTTGGCGGCAGCAGAGCCCTCTGACCTCGAGGAGGCTAAGAGAGAGCAGACATCTGGGTTCATAGTAACTTACTTTAGCTCACTTATCTAGGCAGCATCCTGGTCTATCTGAGCTGCAGCCCACTTCCCTCCTGCTGTCACTGATAGACCTCTAGCCAGCAGCCCTCATAATATTCCCAACAGGCAGCCCTTGGCCTTATCCAGCCTGGAGGAACGACTTGACCATTTCAGAATTAACTCTTCCTATTCTAAAATACTGAAGCCACAAAACATTTGCTTTCTATCATGTCTATATCACAAAAATACATATGCACAAATTATAGTAGCTCAGGACTGTTTGTGAAATGCGTTATTAACATGAAACTTACGTTGCCCCTATTTTCAGGAAGAAAATGAGATCCCTGCCAGTGTGTTTATGAAAGAGCCAGTTTCCAGCCCAGCAGAAGGGAAGGAGGAGCTCGCTGATGAAAACAAGTCCCTGGAGGAAACCTTGCACACAGTGGACCTCTCATCAGATGATGAATTGCCCCGTGATGAAGAAGCCCTAGAAGACAGTGCTGAGGAGAAGACAGAAGAAAGCAGGGCAGAGAAAATAAAAAGATCCAGCCTCAGGAAAGTGGATAGCCTCAAGAAAGCATTTTCACGCCAGAACATCGAGAAAAAGATGAACAAGCTGGGGACAAAGATTGTATCTGTAGAGAGGAGAGAGAAGATTAAGAAATCTCTCACTTCCAATCACCAGAAAAACTCAGGAAAAAGCACCCCCTTCAAGGTTTCTCCCCTCAGTTTCAGTAGAAAGAAAGTCCGAGAAGGAGAAAGTCCTGTGGAAAATGAGACCAAATCAGAAGACACGCGTGGCAGTGACCAGATGCTGAATGACCACGAGGAAGGCTCTGTTGCAGAGGGTCTTTCTGAAGCATCCCTAGTGGAAGAGAAGAACGCCGAGGGGGATGCTGAGGGGGCAGCCTTGAGAGGGAGTAACTCGGGGATGGACAGTAACATCGACTTGACCATTGTAGAAGATGAAGAAGGAGAGGCAGTGGCCCTGGAATATGCGCAGAAGACACGGTATGAGGACCACTGCACGCGCACCCCAGAGGAGACAGAACAGTCGGATGAGGAACCTGTGCAGCCAGCTGTGCTCCAGGTGGACCAGACCGTCTAAATGCACAGCCTGCTGGGGCCAGCCTATCTTTTTTAGTTAAGTGGGTAACCAGAGCCTGGAAACAAACACTTGCACATCTCTAGCACCACCCACTCACTCCCATGTTTTTGTCCAGGCAGTAGTAATTTATTACATAGTAGCCGCACACACGTGACCAAGATTTACTATGAAAGCAATGTGTCAGGGGCTCACTTCTTTCTAATTTGCTCTTAGGTTCTATTTATGTAGAATTTCTCCTAGTTTTGCCAGAAAGAGGAAATGGAACAGTTGAAAAATACCAATCAATTTGGCTTAGTCAGAAAAACCAGAGGATACTTAGGATACTAGTTATGAAATGTGATTCTTTTTTTTTTTTTTTTGTCATTCCATAAGCTTGTTGAATAATGTACCAGTAATATATTGAATTTCCACAGTAGTCTGTGAATCTAACTCTTTAAGTGTGTGATATATAATATGCATATGTATTTAATCTAAAGACATAACTACTTTATAGTTTAAAAAAGAAATATTTAAAAAAGGTAGAGACAGTGCTCAGTTGGTTATTCATTTAATAGAAGCCATTGTTTCTTGCAAATGAAGGAAGAATTAGAAGTCTATAATAATTCATTAGTGAAGTAAGATATGTAGGAAAGTCATACTATTAGAGAAAAAAAAACCAAGAAGGGAAAGTGAAAAAAAAAACCAAGAAGGGAAATTAAAAAAAAATAAGAGGAACAAGAAACACCAAAGAAAAGGAAGAACAAAGAGAGAAAAACCTATCTGCTTAAAACTAAAATATTTATAATATTAGTATTGTATTTCACTCTTCAAATAACAATACTAAAGATGTTTGTATATCCTGGAATAACATGTTTATGTCTTCACAGTATTTTTTTACTAATATTTTCAAATAATAGAACAAATATATTTTACAGTGTTAAAGCTAGGTTTGTTTTCTTAATAAATGAAGACACTGCAAATACTTCTCTAAGGAAGTTCAAAAGGATGCTGTCTCTTTAACATTGGAATTACTATAAATCTGTGAAAATATACACCGCCTTTTGTAAGAAGCTCGATCTTAGTATTCTGTAATGTTTTCCAAATTTGAAATAATCCTTACACTCCAAATAATGCATTATAGGTTTATAAGATGTTAAAATCAACAGGCTTGGAGAGGGAAGGATTCTCCTTTTCCTCTTTATACATAATGGTAATTTCATTCCAGGTCATATTACATTAAGATATTAACCTCCCAGAACAGTAATGGGTTTTTTTTAACTTAAAGCATGCTAGTATTTTTGTGTATGTACACTTTATTCAGACAGGGTAATTTTCACTGCTGCCTAACATATTAAAATATTGCTTTGTCTAATTTTAATTACAAAATTCTAATGTTTTAAGAGAGGCTTGTTAAATTGTAGTTTAAAGACTGTTGACCCCAGGAAGCAAATTCCCTGCATTTAGTATATTCCACAATAAATAACCTTACAAAGGTTAATATAAACAATGTTAACTATGCTTTGTTTTAATCAAAGGTATAGGATTAACAAATGTATTGATGGCATGTCTTATTTTGCAATAATGTAACCTCAAATATTGAACTGTTGGACTAACGATGACTGTGTTAAGACAAAATAAAACAAAAATAAAAACGTATATTACAGTGTCATTTTTTTTTTACAGAATAATTTTAGTACAAGCAGAAAGAATTGATTTTTAAACTCTACTCAAAACGTAGCAGAAATGTTGTTTCAGTCCTGATTTCCCCTATTAATTCTACTTTCATTTTTCCCTGATCTCATTTAGAAATCCAAGCCTCATTCTTCAAGTTTAACTTTCTTGACATCACCTTGCCAGCGCTGGAGAGCATCTGAATTTATTGCAGTAGCTTGATGAATTTGATAGTTCCATCTGCATTTTTATTGTATTGTACCAGATCTTATAATATCTTAAATAGTCCTGCAAACATAAATATATGAAACTGTACGTTCAGTTTATTCACCCAGATAAACCTTTGTCTTCTTCAGTGCCCTACACTGGGTAGAAGACTTAATTTTACTCATGGCCTAAAGCATGCCTGTTTAACCTTTATGGAGTTGCTGTCACTTCTTGCAGCCAAGGAGTTGGAAGATCCAGAGCTGATATAATGTTTACATTTCCTTTTTGAAAATGCTTATTTCATTTGTTGCCGTAAACTAGCTGCATGTCAATGAAAAACTGCATTCAAGCATTTTTTTAGGTTTTACTGACAATCACTTTATTCTGTGTTCCACATTTGCAGCATTAAAATCCTAAACAATAAAAGAGAGAATTAGGCCAAATAACTGTTTGAAAACACATACTGTAGGGATTAGAGAGAGCATCAACTGTGGAAATGGAAGCTATTTGTTCTGTATTATTGTTGAATTATTTGCATATTGGTGAGGTTGCAAAGTCCCCAAATTAGATATGTCTTCTTCCCACCCATCCAATAACCCATTCCCAACTTCGTGTGCCTGGAGCTCAAGAATTGGATTAGTTTTCCCCAAAGATTGGTTATACATTAATAAGGACTGACAGCCATATCTTAGAAATATAATTCAAGAGTAAGAAGTGTCTATTACATGTGTTACAAATCTCACAGAAATATAGCAAAGATGTCATTTTTCTTCAAGGTTTTAGTTTATATATAGATATATATTTCAACCGGAATATTTTTTTCTCTTTCCACTAAGCAATCTAGGATATGGCTGAATTACTGGTTCTTTTTATACATTTTTAAAAAAAGAAAAGAAAAACACCAAGGCTAAGATCAGTTCTGCACAAAACAAAGATTTTTGACATTTGTTGTATAATGAAACCCCAAAATGTTTCTGCTTTTAGCAACGCTTATCTAGAAGGGCACAAAGGTTGACCCCCCCATGTGTTTCAGCTCACTATCAGGAAACTAGAGGCTCCTTCAACCTAGCCAAGTTGCTAGTGTAAGTAAAGGTTATAATGAAAGTCATTTTCTGCATTAAGACACTAATGCCCCAGCCCAGTTAATTCTTGCTCAAAAGTTTGTTTACTGCCCTACAGCCCAAATCTAAGTGATTTTATATTGGAGATCAAGAATATGAGGACTTGAAGTACAAACAACAATCATTATTAACAGTTCCATAGCAACCACAGGTCTTTTCCTAAAAACCAGGACTCTGACACTGCAAAACAAGTTTCAGATGAAATTGGAATTGTGACCTTTGTATTCTGCTTGGTCTGGGCATCTAGATAAAGACTTCTGCAGCCAGGAACTCATTCCTAAAGGGAATAGGCAGTAACTCGCATTATTAAAGGCACATTCTTCTTATTTCTTTTTTACCATTACATTATCCTACAGTATTTGAAACTCTAAAATTATTTTTAACTCTCCACACAAACTGCCTCAATGCCCCAATTAACAAGTCACACCTTTAGCAGAACAGCTAGATGTTCATACATTTAAACACTTTCTATAGTAAAATCAATTCATTAAGTATTTATTGAGCAATGCAACCTTTAGTCCCTCCATTTGTTAAATTTATTTTATTATTTTTTTATTGTTTTACTTTAAGTGAAAGTTTACAATTCAAGTTAGTCTCTCATGCAAAAATTCATACATACATTGTTATGCGACCCTAATTGCTCTCCCTATACTGTGACAGCCCATTGTTCCTTTCCACCCTTAATTTCCTATATCCATTCAGCCAGCTCCTGACCCTCTCTGCCTTCTCATCTCACCTCCAGACAGGAACTGCCCGTTTAGTCTCCTGTATGTACTTGAGCTAAGAAGCACACTCTTCATGAGTATCATTTTATGTCCTATGGTCCAGTCTAATCTTTGTCTGAAGAGTTGGCCTTGGGAATAGTTTTAGTTCTGGGTTGACAGAGAGTCCAGGGGCCATGCCTTCTGGGGTTCCTCCAGTCTCAGACCATTAAGTCTGGTATTTTTACTAGAATTTGAGTTCTGCACCCCACCTTTCTCTTGCTCCATCAGGGACTCTCTGTTGTGTTCCCTGTCAGGGCGGTCATTGGTGGTAGCCAGGCACCATCTAGTTCTTCTGGTCTCAGGATAATGCAGTCTCTGGTTTATGTGACCCTTTCTGTCTCTTGGGCTAATACTTTCCTTGTGTCTTTGGTGTTCTTCATTCTCCTTGACTCCAGGTGGGTTGGGACCAAATGATACATCTTAGATGGCCGCTCGCTAGCATTTAAGACCCTAGATGCCACTTACCAAAGTAGGATGCAGAACATTTTCTTAATAAACTGTTACGCCAATTGACCTAGATGTTGCCAAAAGCATGGTCCCCAGACCCTCGCCCCTGCTACTCTGTCCCTCAAAGTGTTTGGTTGTATTCAGGAAACTTCTTAGCTTTGGTTTAGTCCAGTTGTGCTGACTTCCCCTGTAGGGTGTGCTGTCCTTCCCTTCACCTAAGATAGTTCTTGTCTACTATCTAGTTAGTGAATAACCCTCTCCCTCCCTCCCCCCTCTCGTAACCATCAAAGAATGTTTTCTTCTGTGTTTAAACCTTTTCTTGGGTGCTTATAATAGTGGTCTTATAGAATATTTGTCCTTCTGTGACTGACTAAATTCACTCAGCATAATGCCCTCCAGCTTGCTCCATGTTCTGTTTCACAGATTCATTGTTCTTTATCCATTGTGTGAATATACCATAATTTGTTTATCGATTTGTCCGTTGATGGGCACATAGGTTGTTTCCATCTTTTTGCTATTGTGAACAGTGCTGCAATGAACATGGGTGTGCATATACTTATTTGTGTGACGGCTCTTATTTCTCTAGGATACATTCCAAGGAGCGGGATTGCTGGATCCTATGGTACTTCTATTTGTAGCTTTTTAAGGAAGCATGGAATTGATTTCCAAAGTGGTTGTACCATTTTACATTCCCACCAACAGTGTATAAGTGTTCTAGTCTCTCCACAACCTCTCCAACATTTATTATTTGGTGTGTTTTGGATTATTGCTAGCCTTGTTGGGGTGAGATGGTATCTCACTGTAGTTTTGA